ACAGGAAAATGTGGGAAAGTTTGGAACTCCCTAGAGATTTGTTGAATGCCTTTGACCAAAATGCTGATAACGATATGGACAATGAAATCCAGGCTGAGGTGGTCTCATATGGAGAAGATGAGGAACTTTTTGGGAACTGAGCAAAGGTGACTCTTGTTATGTTTTAGCAAAGACACTGGCAGCATTTTGCCCCTGCCCTAGAGATTTGTGGAACTTTGAACTTGAGAGAAATGATTTAGGCTATCTGGCGGAAGAAATGTTTAAGCAGCAAAGCATTCAAAATGTGATATGGGTGCTGTTAAAGGCATTCAGTTTTATAAGGGAAGGAAAGCATAAAAGTTTGGAAAATTTGCAGCCTGACCATGCAATAGAAAAGAAAATCCCATTTTCTGAGGAAAAATTCAAGTGGGCTGCAGAAATTTGTGTAAGTAATGGGGAGCCAGATGTTAATCACCAAGACAATGAGGAAAATGTCTCCGGGGAATGTCAGAGACCTTTGCAGCAATCCTTCCCATCACAGGCCCAGAGGTTTAGGAGGAAAAACTGGTTTTGTGGGCTGGGCCCAGGGTCCCTCTGCTATGTACAGTCTAGGGACTTGGTGCCTTGCTTCCGAGCCGCTCCAGCTATGACTAAAAGAGGCCAAGGTACAGCTCAGGCTGTCGCTTCAGAGGATGCAAGCACCAAGCCTTGTCAGCTTCCACATGGTGTGGAGCCTGAGGGTGCACAGAAGTTAAGAATTGAGGTTTAGGAACCTCCGCTAGATTTCAGATGTATGGAAATGCCTGGATGCCCAGGCAAAAGTTTGCACAAGGGTGTGGCCCTCATGGAGAACCTCTGCTAGGGCAGTGCAGAAGGGAAATGTGGGGTCAGGGCCCCCACACAGAGTCCCTATTGCAGCACCACCTAGTGGAGCTGTGAGAAGAGGGCCACCATCCTCCAGACCCCAGAATGGTAGATCTACTGAGACCTTGCGCCATGCACCTAGAAAAGCCACAGACACTCAGTGCCAGCCTGTGAAGGCAGCTGAGAGGGAGGCTGTACCCTGCAAAGTCACAGGGGCAGAGCTGCCCAATACGATGGGAACCCAGCTCTTGCATCAGCATGACCAGGATGAGAGACGTGGGGTCAAAGGAGATCATTTTGGAGTTTTAAGATTTGACTACCTCACTGGATTTAGACTTGCATAGGGACTGTAGCCCCTTCATTTGGGCCAATTTCTCCATTTGGAATGGCTGTATTAACCTAATGCCTGTACTCACATTGTATCTAGGACGTAACTAACTTGCTTCTGATTTTACAGGCTCATAGACAGAAGGGACTTGCCTTGTCTCTGATGAGATGTTGGACTGTGGACTTTTAAGTTAATGCTGAAATGAGTTACAACTTTGGGAGACTGTTGGGAAGGCATGATTGGTTTTGAAATGTGAGGACATGGGATTTTGGAGGCGCCAGGGATGGAATGATATGGTTTGGCTGTGTCCCCACCTAAATTTCATCTTGCATTTCCATGTGTTATGGGAAGCACCCAGTGGGAGATGACTGAATCATGGGGACAAGTCTTTCCCATGCTGTTCTCGTGATAGTAAGTCTCACAAGATCTGATGGTTTTATAAAGAGGACTTCCCCTGCACAAGCTCTCTCTGCCTACTGCCATCCATTTAAGAAGTGACTTGCTCTTCCTTGCCTTCCACCATGATTGTGAGGCTTCCCTAGCCATGGGGAACTGTAAGTCCAATTAAACCTCTTTCTTTTGTAAATTGCCCAGTCTCTGGTATATCTTTATCAGCAGCATGAACATGGACTAATACACTAGGTTACTGCATCTTCTAATCTCAACAAGACCACGGGGTAACAATTAATCTCAAGGCATTCACTGACCCAGATTATGACAGACATATAAAAGGCTGGAACTTTAAAACTATTTGATTCGTGCTGTCCGTAGTTAGTTATAACAGAAGCAAATGTTGTATGCAACTCCTTTTTTTTCCTCTACCACCCTCACTGTCTGACAGTAGCCCAAACCAACTCTACTGCAGAAGCATAGTGATTTGTCACATCCTAAAGTGAAAGGGGTAGGAGGGATGGAAACTCATCTTCCTTTCACTAATAAAATGTCAAAGTCATCCAAAATTATGTATTGGTTCACTGTCATGGGAGATATTTAAAATGCTACTTTGGTAGATTCCCGAAGTACTATATCACCTTTTGAGTTGACAATAGATTGGCAGAATAAAAGGCAAGTACAGAGTAGAAGAAGTGAAAGTCCCAAGTAGTTAATGTTTTCAGCTGCATTCTTTACCTAGGAAACTGTATACATTCCCCTGATTTAACTACCATTCCCCTGATTTAACTACCACCTATATGCTGATCATACCCAAATCTATCTAACAATCAATGTAGACTTTTCCTCTAAGCTCCAGATTTATAATTCCAACTACTCAGTGAAAAACCTTACCTGAATTTCCCTTAGGCAACTCAAACTAAATAGGTCTAAATTTGAACTTACTACCTTTTCCCAAACCCTGCCCTTTTCTTCCTTCCCCTTTCTCGTCTACCTTCTCACCCAAACCAGAAACCTAAAAGCCACCTTGAATTTTCTTTCATCTTCACTCCTAAATCTAATCAATCACAAGTGCTAGCACTTTCCTCAGTCCTCTCTGACCTACTGTTATTGCCAGGATCAGAACATCACTTGCTTGGACTATTATAGTGGCCATCTAACTGATCTCTCTCCACTAGCCTTGGCCCCCTCAAGTCCATTCTCTACACTTCTGCCAGGGTGATCTTTCTCAAATTTAAATCTAATTAGATCTCTCCTTAAAACTCTTCATGGCTTTCCACTGCTTATAGTCAGCATGGTGTATAAAGCTCTTCAGCAGATTCAGCAGTCTATCTACCTCCCCAGCCTTCTCTCTCTTCCCTTCCACTTCCATTGCAGTGTACATTCCAGCATTAGTTAATTACTTGTAATTCTAGAGATACATCAAGTAGATTTTTGCATCCACACCTTTGCATGTCCTATGTCCTAGAGTTATCTACACCTTCATCTCAATTTCTTCTGCCCCATGACTGCCTGCTGAACTCCTTCCTCTACAACATCTAAAATCCTACTTGTAGGTCATCTCCCCCAATTCTAGACAAATGTAATCACCTCGTTTTCTATATTGCTTCCTATATCATAATACTTCTTATCCTTTCCTATATTACTATGCATGTATGCAAAATATAGAAGTAGCACATCAAAACCCTTATACATTATTACAAATACTTATTTACACTTCTGCCTCCCTTGTATTGTCACTCATTAAGGGCAGAGACCATTTGATATTCAATTTTATAAGCCTGATGCCTACCATAGCATCTGGCACACTTACACTCAGTAAGTATTGGCTATTCTTGAAGAGGATTCTAAAATTTATTCAACTACCTCCCCCCAAAATTGAGAGCCACTACACTCAAACTTGTGATTTATCCTGCAAAAATCACATAAACTGGTAATACCAACATAAGTATATCTTTGTCATATAGTCAGTCTGAAATTGGGATAGTTGAGATATCCTTTTTCTCTATAAGCCTTGTTTTGGTGCTTTTAGAAATCCAAAGGTCTTCATTCAGAAAAAATTTCAAAAACTATTTGTATAGCTCAAAATACCACAATTTCTTAGTACTATTAGATCCTTTCTGTGGAGAGGTTATATAGAGATGTCATAACTGGCCAGTGGCATTGGTATAAGAGCTGTGAAACACACACACACACACACACACAGACATTTACCTACATGTCCTATCTACTCCCTCAAGGAGACAGGAATGAGATCTGTGTCTTTTATATTTATTTTCCTGCACCATTCTTTACACACCATATGTTTAATAGATATGCAATCCTATTTCTAATAATAATGGTGAAGTTGACAGGGAGCCTGTACTACTGGAAAGAATACTAGCCAGGAGCTAGGACCCCTGATGTGCTGTGATGAAATGTAAAAAAGAAAAGTCCCTCTCCACAGCCGGGCATGGTGGCTTACGCCTATAATCCCAGCACTTTGGGAGGCCAAGACAGGCGGATCACCTGAGGTCAGGAGTTCAAGACCAGCCCGGCCAACATGGTGAAACCCTGTCTCTACTAAAAAATATTTAAAAATTAGCCAGGCATGGTGGTGCATTCCTGTAATCCCAGCTACTCAGGAGGCTGAGGCAGGAGAATTGCTAGAACCCAGGAAGTAGAGGGTGCAGTGACCCGAGATTGCACCACCACTGCACTCTAGTCTGTGCAGTGGAGCGAGACTCCATCTCAAAAAAAAAAAAAGAAAAAAAAAAAGTCCCTCTCCTGACATATATATAAATGAGAAGTAATATGAGGAAGAAGTAGCAATTTTCAGGATCTATTACATGTCGGATGCTGATTTGGGCACTTGATGTGTAGTATTGAATTAAATTCTCATAAAATTCCAATGAGATAGGATCATTGCTTCTATTTTACAGGTGAGGGAACTAACTCAGAATCATTTGCCCAAGAACACAGAGCTCATAAGTAGCAGAGTCGGCATCTGTACCAGGCAAAAAGCCTACATTCTCAATTAGTGTCCTACACTGCAAGTGTTTTGTATGTCACATTCTAAAGAAGAAACTTAAAAACCGATAATCAAAATTTTGTACATCTATTCCCACTGATCTTCAAACAACTGCATAATAGAAGGAACATTTTTTAAGATTATAGTTTAATAGTTGTGCAGAGTAAAAGCAGTGATGTAGAGGTCAGGAATGCCTCTAGCCCAATCCAGTCTCTACTTTATATGAACTGTGTTTTCTTACTTTAGTTACTCCCTCAGCACATCAGTTTTTGCATCTGTGAAATAAAGAAAATGCTCCCTATTTTACAGGGTGACTATGAAGATGATACATGTACAACCCTTTATAAAGATTTCATAAACAACAATGCTGGCAAATGAACAGCAATAAAAGCTAACAAAAAAACGTGTGAAAACAGAAAGTATGCTTACAGAAGCCAGTAATCTTCCATCTTCCTTCATAGCAAGGTAACGGTTAGCACACACTCCTTTGATAGACACAACTCCTCTCTCTTCTGCTTGAAGTTGTAATTTGACTGTAATGGGAAAAAAAAATTATCTTTGTAGAACCATAGAGGAAAGAGCCTTCTTCACAACATTTATGCAATATAAAGACAAAACACACCTAAGCAACACCTAATCCACTTGGGGGATTGGTGAGGTTGGGGGTATGGGTGAGTGACAAGGAGCAGATGTCAACTAAACTGTATGAGAGAGGATGAGATGCAGAACTACTAGGGCACCAGTGCCTTGTGAGTCCCTTGTCGCTCCTATGTCACAGGGTGAGCAGAGAAGGGGGACATATGGAGAATTGTTTCCTTTGTTGGGCAGTTAGCTTTCCATTGCGCCTGTTAACTGTTTATATTTTTTAAAGTGAACATACTTTAAGGGTGCATAAAAGTACCCTCACCATGTGAGAATTCCCATGCTACTGCCTATGTTGAAACTATTTAAAAGTTATTTGCTAATTCTTCATGAATAAAACACAATCTAATAATTCACTGTTATAATTTGAGCTGTATTTTCTTGACTTTTTTTTCTTTTTTGAGTCAGAGTCTTGCCTCTGTCACCCAGGCTGGAGTGCAGTGGCACAATCACAGCTCACTGCAAGCTCTGCCTCCCGGGTTCCCACCATTCTCCTGCCTCAGTCTCCCAAGTAGCTGGGACTACAGGCGCCTGCCACCACGCCTGGCTAATTTTTTGTATTTTTAGTAGAGACGGGGTTTCACCATGTTAGCCAGGATGGTCTCGATCTCCTGACCTCATGATCTGCCCACCTCGGCCTCCCAAAGTGCTGAGATTACAGGCGTGAGCCACCGCGCCCGGCCCTATTTCCTTGACTTCTACACATCTTATTTCTAGCTTCCTCTTCAATGAAATATAGATGCATTTAGCTTTCTATATGGGATTTTGATGTCTATTTTTTTGTGCGCAAATATCTATCTAGTGGAAACACAAAATGCTTATACTTAATTTGCTTATACAGCAAATGATTTTCATAAAATAAGTGTGATGAAAGATTTTCATAAAATAAGATCCTTAGAAAGATGACTTGTCACACTGCATTACCAATATTAAGCAGATTATAGAAAAAAATACTTAATTATGACAATAATGCAATGTGGACAAATAATTACATAATTAATTGAAATAAAAATGAAGTAAAGATTATTTTGCTATTCAGAGGCAGCATTCTCCTGCCTAGAACAATATTCCCCCAAATGTATTTTGGCTACCAGATGTTACATAAAAAACAGGGTCTGGCGTCAAATAATTTAGGAAAATCTTAGTTAAGCCAAGTTAACTCTTTATTACCAAACTTCTCAGAACTCTGCTTATCATAAGATAAGCAAGATAAATGTTTGTCCAACCTATTTTCATACGTCATCCTATATACTATGGATATGTTTAGTATATTCTTGAGAGCAAGAGAAAAAAATGCAATTTTAGAAATCAGCATATTATCATTTGAATAACATTAGAAATATAAAATAAATATAATTTCCAGGTGTTTATAGGTAGCTAGAGAAATGGCATGAAAAAGCAACTTTTGAAAGTTTCTGAAGTAATTAACTTTGTTAGATATCATTATGTCATAGTAATTTATGTTTTAAAATTTTTCCTATCAAGACAGCAACAGACATGCAAAATGAAACATAATATCTGGGATTAGCTTTAAAATAAGCTAATAGATTATTTTAAATAATAGATAATAAATTTTTAATAAAGTGGATAGGATAAATAAGATTGACTTGTGTTAACAGTCATTAGAAGCACAGGATCTCATTATTCTAATCTCACTACTTTTATGAATGCTTAAGAATTTACAATTTAAAAAAAATCTTAGCATTTTGTTGAACATTTCATGTCTGAGTCTCCTCTGTGTGTCAGTTACCCCTGGATTCCAGAAAGCACCCAGCTGTAGCCCACCATCTCATAAATGTGTATTACTGGTCATAAGGGTGATTAGGGATATTCATGTATGGCCAGATCAGTACCAGTGACTCAATACTCAAAGTAAATATCATTCATTTACTCATTAACCTTTTGTAGACCTCAACTATTCCACACTCAGGGACTGTTATTCATTAAACCACTAAGCAATAAGCATTAAATGTAGATTCTTAAAAAGTGTTTCCATTGGCATATAATTTTTAAAATATAAGTTTTAAAAATAACCAGAGTCTACAACAAGAAGTTGAGGGAGTCACAAAATCATAGATTTTCTATAAAAACTATCTGAGCTGAGATGCATAAAAAACCTAAATAAACTGAATTCAATATACAGATGATCTCTTCCCAAAAAAGAGATGCACAGCTGCTTCATCTCCTAAATAAATTTGATATACAGATGATCTCTTCCATAAAAACAGATGCATAACTGCTTCATCTCTGATAGGAGGAGGAATAAACTTGCCAAAAATGGGACTATGAAGAAACCAGCTGAATTTTTAAGAAACTTTTATTAGCTGCTGATGTGAGGAAGTAGAATTCTGAAGAGCCCTGATCAAAGAGCAATTCCATATCCACCTGCCAGTTCTTTCCCATAGAGCTTCCACTCAGTGCACAAGTACCACACACCAAAGGCTAGGAACAGAACAGAAGGGCTAGAGATCCTCCTCAAGTACCCCGGGCCTTTGCAGACTGCAAGGCAGCAGTCCACTGAAGGCTGGGAGCAGGTCAAATGGCTGAAAGCGATCCTTCTGAGAAGCACTGAGCTTTCACCAAAAACAAAGCCAATGACCAGCAGGATAAAGAGAGATCTTCCAAGATGTGGAAAGCCAGGAGTAGAGTTCAAGAGCAAGGTTAACTCCCCACCAATCCAAACATTTAGCAACTGAGTTACAAAGGCAAAATGAAATATTTTAAAACTACTCAATTCGATTAACCCAAGAAGGCAGAAAGGGAAAGACAGAAGGTAAAGGACAGAAAGGATAATTAGAAAAATAGCAAAATGTGTGAATTTGATTCTGTCATCATGCTGCTATTTGGTTATTTTGCACACTAGCTGATGCAGTTTCTTCCTAGTGTCATTGGTCTTTATATTTTAGTGTGTTTTTGCAGTGACTGGTACGGGTTTTTCCTTTCCATATTTAGTGCTCCTTTCAGGAGCTCTTGTAAGGCAGGCCTGGTGGTGACAAAATCCCTCAGCATCTGCTTGTCTGGAAAGGATTTTATTTCTCCTTCGCTTTTGAAGGTTAGTGTGGCTGGATACGAAATTCTGAGTTGAAAATTTTTTTCTGTAAGAGTGTTGAATATTGGCCCTCAATCTCTTCAGGCTTATAGAGTTTCTGCTGAGAGGTCTGCTGTTAGTCTGATGGACTTCCCTTTGTAGGTGACCTGGCCTTTCTCTCTGACTGCCCTAAACAGTTTTTCCTTCATTTCAACCTTGGAGAATCTGATGATTATGTATCTTGGGGTTGATCTTCTTGTGGAGTATCTTGGTGGTGTTCTCTGCATTTCCTGAATTTGTATGTTGGCCTGTCTTGCTAGGTTGGGGAAGTTTTCCTGGATAATATCCCGAAGTGTGTTTTCCAACTTGTTTCTATTCTCCCTGTCTTCTTCTGGTACTCTAGTCAATAGTAGGTTTGGTCTTTTTATGAAGTCCCATATTTCTTGGAGGTTTTTTTCATTCCTTTACATTCTTTTTTCTCTAGTCTTGTCTTCATGCCTTATTTCAGCAAGATGGTCTTCAAATTCTGATATCCTTTCTTCTATTTGGTTGATTTGGATGTTGATACTTGTGTATGCTTCACGAAGTTCTCATGCTGTGTTTTTCAACTCCATCAGGTCATTTACGTTCCTCTCTAAACTGGTATTCTAGTTTACAATTCCTCTAACCTTTCATAAAGGTTCTTAGTGTCTTTGCATTGGGTTAGAACATGCTCCTTTTAGCTCAGCGTAGTTTTTTATTACCTATCTTCTGAAGCCTGCTTCCGTCAATTCGTCCAACTGATCCTCCGTCCAATTTTGCACCCTTGATGGAAAGACGTTGCGATCATTTGGAGAAGAGGCACTTTGGCCTTTTGGGTTTTCAGTATTTTTCCGTTGATTCTTTCTCATCTTTGTGAGTTTGTCTAGTTTCAGTCTTTGAGGCTGCTGACCCTTGGATGGGGTTTTTGTGGGGGTTTTTTTGTTGTTGATGATACTGTTGTTGCTTTCTGCTTATTATTATTTTTTTCTTTCAATGGTCAGGTCCCTCTTCTACAGGGCTGCTGCAGTTTGCTGGCGATTCACTTCAGGCCCTGTTCTATCTGATTTGCTTCTGCACCTGGAAATGTCACTTAAGGAGGCTGGAGAACAGCAAAGATGGGTGTGTGCTTCTTCTCTGGCCTCTGACCTTGAGGAGCACCATCCTGATGCCAGTAGGATCCCTCCTGTATAGGGTGTTTGACAACCCCTGTTGCAGGGTCTCACCCAGTTGGGTGGCACGGGTAATAGGACCAGTTTACTGAAGCACTTTCTCTCTTGGTGGAGGGGGTATGCCTCTTAGAGACCTACAAAGAGACTTAGACTCCTATGAAATAATAGTGGGAGACTTTAATGCCCTACTGTCAATATTAGATCAATGAGACAGAAAATTAATAAGGATATTCAGGACTTGAACTCAGCTCTGGATCAAGTGGACCTAGTAGACGTCTATAGAATGCTCTATCCCAAATCAACAGAATATACATTCTTCTCAGTACCACATGGCACTTATTCTAAAATCGACCACATATTTGGAAGTAAAACACTCCTCAGCAAATGCAAAAGAACTGAAATCATAACAAACAGTCTCTCAAAACACGGTGCAATCAAATTAGAACTCAGGATTAAGAAACTCACTCAAAACCACACAATTACATGGAAATTGAACAACCTGCTCCTGAATGACTCCTGGGTAAATAATGAAATTATAGCAGAAATGAAGAAGTTATTTGAAAACGAGAACAAAGAGACAATGTACCAGAATTTCTGGGGCACAGCTAAAGCAGTATTAAGAGGGAAATTTATAGCACTAAATGCCCACTTCAGAAAGCTTGAAAGATCTCAA